CACGAAAGATCCTGCATAATCTCGATATGTGGTTAAAAGTTCAAGAAAATGGCCTAAAGGTGTTCAACATTGGCTCAGAAGTGAGAAAAACGGGTGTCGGAGGGCGAAAATGGAATATAACTGGTTGCAAAGATAATTGCTGGCCTCCCACCCTCCAGTGACCTTCCTGGTGATGAAACAGAGGCACCTGCCAAAGATGAACGAAAACCGATGTAAAACGAATGCTCGGGGGTCGAAACACGCAGTTCGGGGTCCCGAAAAAGGGCTGCCAAGCACCGAAAGTGGCGTTCGGCCACGAAGTGGATTTCTCAGACCCCAGTGTCCCTTGAAAGGGAGTAAATAAGATGCATGCCAAAAATTGGAGCGATAGGAGATGGTTAAGCGGTCTCGAACCGAGGCACACGGCCTGACGGCTCCGAAAACCGGGAACCGAGTCCCGAAATGGGCAAAATGGCCTATAGCCACAAAATGTAGCCCACGGCCACTGAGAGATGGTCTACGGGACCTCTCCCTCCCCTCAGGAAAAGAAACAGAGAAAACCGAGTCTGGTTCGCAAACCGAGGCAAGGCACAGAAGAGGGTTCGAAAATCCGGAGGCAGGGCTCACGGCCGCGACTCTGAAACTTCTAAACGAGCACATTATGCAATATCACCAAGCGCTCAATCGGTGACGTCTAAGTCTTAAGGTCGATCAAAAATGGGGTGTCTACACTCTTATAGAAAAGAGAGGCCAAAGCTTCTCTTGGAAGCTTCAAAGATCCTCCATACACGTGTATGGAGGATGCACCAAATGGTCCACAGCTGGCACAGCTGGATTACACTCAAAAGGGACAAAAGCAATAAGCAGGCCTGCCAGTTCAAGTGGCCGGCTGGCCACTCCCCCTGGTCGGCCGACCAGGGGTCAAAAGGTTCAAAAACAATTGCTGGTCGGCCTACCCAGAAAGGTGGCCTCCCAGATGAGTAGAACACAACCTTATGGAGAAAAACCAGAAAATGTGACCCAGGAGAGAGAAAAGCTAGCTTTTTAGAGGGGTTCAAAAAGGTCAAGAGGAATTACTGGTCGGCCTACCCATATTGGTGGCCTCCCAGATGAGTAGATCACAATGGTGGTATGAAAAGCCAGAAAATGTGGCTCAAAAGTGAGAAAAACCAGCTTTCTATCAGAAAAATCGACTTTTGGAGAGAGAAAATGAGAAAATGAGAAAACTGGTTTTTCAGGGGAAAAGGTGGCCTCCCACCATCCTACCATCTCCCTAACAATGAAAATAGGGTCTCGGAGAGAGAAAATGAGAAAATTAGTTTTTCAGGGGAAGAGGTGGCCGGCCACCATCCTACCACCTCCCTAACAGTGAAAATAGAGTCTCTACCAAAAATAGACCAAAACGGATGCAAAACGAAGGTTCGGGGGCCAAAATGCGAGGTTTGGGGCCTTGAAAACAGGCTGTTAGGCACCGGAAGTGGCGTATGACCACGAAGGTGGTCTCCCGGGCCACAGTGTCCCTCTAAAGGGAGGAAATAAGATGTGTGCCAAAAACCAGAGCAAACGGAGGTAGTTAAGCGGTCCTGAACCGAGGCACACGGCCGACGGCTCCGAAACCCGGAAACCGGGCTCCAAATGGAAAAAAATGGCCTACGACCATGAAACGTAGCCTACGGCCACTGAGAGATGGTCTACGAGACCTCTCTCTCCCTTCGGGAAGAGAAAACAGAGAAAACAGGACCTGGTTCGTAAACCGAGGCAAAGCACAAAAGAGCCCTGAAGTCCAGAGGCAAGGCTCGCAGCCGAGACTCTGAAACCTCTGAACGAGCACAATATGCAACATCACCGAGCGCTCAACTGGTGACATCTGAGTCTTAAGGTCGGTCAAAAATAAGGTGTCTACATCTTGCTTTGAGAGAGTTTGTTAGGCTCTTTAAGTATAGAGAACTTTAAAGCGATGAGGCAAAATAACTTCACTATTAAAGAGTTTGTTGGAAAGCCACAACTAAATCGAGACTAAATATAATGCATAATTTGAACTTTTTAAAGAGCTTGTTGGAAACACTCCCCCTTGTCACATTATGTATATATCCATTCCGTAGTGCTCGAGGAGATACCCATAGATGTGTAGCACAGTGCCAAGGTTGTACCTATGTTGCCCCATGGTGACCTCGAGCTTGGCCCCAAAGTAGAGTTTATAAAGGCAGTCGAAGATTGGCAGTGATATAATGTGGCATTATCACTATTTAATGAGTAATTTCATATTACGTTAGTAGATGTTTATATTTGGATTGGATTTGCAGAAGACAATAAATTTGTATTTGATTTTGGTTTTTTTTTTTTTTTTGGTACTTGATTTCGTTTCTAGTTTTTATTAGTTTGCAACATTTTTTAAGATAACATTACCGTTGTCCTCAATATTTGTTATGATCTAATGAATAGGCAAGAATATAATGCACAAGAAAGATGACATGAGGCACAATAAAAAATAATCCGATTCAAAAATTTTAAAATGTAAATATTTTTTTATCTAATTTTTTTGAATACGTAAAGTTGCTCATATTTAAAGAATAATATTTACTTCTTTCTCATAATAAGCACAAGTTACTGACTAGTTCATTCTGTTTATCCTATGTGTTTCAAAGTTGGGAACTATAACTATATAGAATAATTCCAACACTACTATCTACTTGTATTCTTTAAAAAAAAAAAAATGTGTTTGTTAATGATGGACACAATTTTGCGTGTATAAAGTAAAAGTGGGAATTGATGTAGAGTCACACTTTTCTAGTTTTCTTGCACTTATAAAGTGGAAGTGATTTAGTTCATTGTGATATTTTTATATTTGTTCTTTTTTATTGATGTAATTTGTTTTGTACTTTGTATTATGTTTTATATCAATGAAGTTTCTTTGTTTTGCCAATCAAAAAAATAAAATAAAATAAAATAAAATAAAGTAGAAGTGAGAATTCATGTAGAGTCCAGTTTTTTAGTTTTCTCAAAATAGTCCTATGACATTATAACTGCTTAGATATAGATTTATGTATTGTTTTAAAATTATTTTTTTCAATTTTTTATTCAAACCTGTTTCAATTTTACACAATTTTAAATTCATGATTATCTTCCAATATATATATGTATATATATAATTTTTCACAAAAAAATAATTTTTTTTCTTTTTTATTTATTTATTTATCATGCAATGAATTTTTTTATTAGAAAAACCAAAAAGTGAAAATTGTGCAACTTTTAAGATGCAAGCACCTTTTGCCGCAGCAAAATCCGATTATCTTGTATAACCCAATCAGGGACCACTGGCACTTACCCCAAAACGCGTAATCCTGTAGGAGAATTACTAAATAGTAGGATAAAATATAAGAAATAAAAAATTACACAACTATAGCACTGTGGGAATGCAACTCGAGTTGCACCTTATTTCATATTTGTGTAATTTTTTCCTCCCATTTTTCACTGATTCCACAAAATAACATTTAGGTATTTTAATTTTTTGGTACAATCATCAATCATGTGTTTAATTCTTTTGTGTTGAAAACATGTGAGAAAGACAGGAATTCAATAAAAAGGAAAGCCCTTAAAAGTATATGTATTTAATTCCAAACTTGATAAGGAAGTAAAGTTCTGAAAAGGTATACCTTCCCTAATTAAGCTTGTTTGTGGACAAAGTTGATTTAAACAAATCCTCTTAGACAAGTATAAAATTCCCTTTTGCCCAAGCTACACACACAATTACTTAATCGGCAGCACACTCAAATAGTTTGTGTGAACTACAGCAATTCATATATATACTTATAGAGACTTAAAAATATATACATTATTTATTGTACTCATTTTCGTATAGAATATACGGTTTTATAAGCCTTACAAAAAAAACTTGCTTGGTTTTAGAAAATGCCATGGTGATTAGCATTCCCATGCTGAAGGTGGTCTTGCTACTCTAATTTCAGAAAATTAGATATGTTGCATCTCAATTTACAAAAATAACAAAGTTACATTCTATATATATTTTTTAATCGGCAAAAATTAGTGATTAGTTGTTAAAGGCACTTAGGGGAGTTAAACGCACACATTCTCTGTGCAAGCACTTACAACTTGCATCTCATGCCACTCATAAAAGTGAAACCCAAGATCTCCCCTTAGGAGAGACTTTATGGCCAAATGACTAACCACACGAAAAACTATTCAATGCCCTACTTTCTCCACTAATCACAACATCTTGGAACACTACGTGACCATGTTCCAGGACCACTCAATACAATCCCTTGGTTCAAAGTCACATTCTACATAATGAGGGTTTTACAGAATTTCATATATTATAAGTTAACTAATATCATCAAATCAGTATACAAACAAACACAATTTATTTTATATCTCCAACCTAATACCACCACACTAGTAATTCTTTTACTCAATCTTATTGTACTAATAATATTCTCACCAATCTAATATGGCAAACATGCATAGCCTATATATAATCTAATTGTACTCATAATATTCCCACCCAATCTAATATGGCAAACATGCGTAGCCTATATCTATAGAGAGAACTATTAGGTTGTGTTGTTAGAGAGTGACATTGGCAAGAATATGGAGGAGAAGCTGTCAATGGAGGAAGCACTTGTTAGACAAAGAACAGTGGAAATAGAAGAAGTGATTCATGAATCTGGGAAGCGCAAGGATCCAATCCTTGGAGACAAAAACTGGGTTGCATCCATAATAAATGCTGGAGGTATGGATAATTATCTCTCTGATCTATTATTATTAGTCAGCATACTCAAGTCTGTTTTACACTTTTTTTCAGTAAATATTTAAAACTCTTTCTGACTTAGGTCTCTTAAAAAAATGGTTTATGCCATCGGTTTTTCTGTCACCATATATATATACTACTGTTTGTTTGGATATTCATGATTAATACTCGTTAAGGAAGTAAGTAATGAATGAGAATAGTTTTTGCATGTAGCCAGTAATATAGAACTGTTAAAAAAAACTGGGTGATCTACTCTTGAAATGATCAGTTTTCCTTTTTTTACTTTTTATTTTGGCTTGAATTTACCATTATCAGACCAATACTAATGCCCCGTTTGAGAATTAACTATTTTAGTTTATTTTTTGATTTTTTTATAAAAATATGTGCAAAAAGTAAAAGAATTATGTGACAACTTATACTAACTAAGTAACTACAAATCTATATTGCCAAACAAAACCTAACTATCTACATGAAGAATAATAATGTGTCATTTGGAAATTGATTATTTTAGTTGATATTTTTTTATTTTTTTTAAAAGACATACGAAAAGTAAAGAGAGTGATGTGATAATTTATAGTTAATTTTTAACTACAAACTCATGTTGTCAAACGAAGCCTAACTATCTATAGGAAGAGAAGAGAGAAAGAGGAGAGTTTTTATTTTTTATTTTTTATCGAAATCTGGCCATACACGTGCAGGGATCACAATTAAAGCCAAGACTGCCCGGTATGGGTGGGTTCCAAAAAATTGATTGCGTATAAGAGATTTTTTGAACCGGAGACTTTAGAGGCATTACACCCCTAAACCCTAAGCCTTGACCAGTAGGCTAAGGAGAGTTACTAAATTCATTTCCTTTTGTTTATTCATTGTCTACTACAATTATTTTTGTTGTTAGTTTTCTCTTACATGGATTTTTTTATTTTTTATCAATGAAAGTTAGTTGTTATAAGTTAAATTACTGTCAATAAAAATTAACCTTTTTATCAATGAAAGTTAGTTGGTCTTCAAACCTTTGTTTTTTTTTTTTTTTTTTTTTTTTGATGGAAAAACAAGTACAAGGTACAAGACAAATTACATCAATAAAGAAAAGGGAAATGCAAAAGTATCACAATGAGCTAAATGATCCCAACTAGGTTGGCACCACAAAGCTCATCCTATCATTTGCTAGCACCCCCAAGTTGGTGAGAGACCAACTAGGTCTTCAAACCTTTGTTAGTTGCACTGTGCTGCATATATGTTAATTATTATAGTTAGTATAATATATTATTATATGTTAGTCATTTAAACGGATTAATTATTATAATAATTATTTTAAAAAAAATTTCAAGACTACTAGTTAAAATTAAGAATAGTGTTGGAGTACACACTACAATATATAAGAGTTTTAGAAATCAAATTTCTTGGTCTCTAAAAGTGAAAATTTTGTTACAAAAGACATTTAGCGATCAATTTCTATCGTCGTGAAAACAGTTGCTAAAAGGTCATCTCGAAAAGTTAAAAATAAGGCTTTTAGCGACAAAAGTTTGAAATGTCACTAGTAAATATATTTTTAAGGACAAAATAATTTGGTCTCAAAAGGATTTATTTTTTGAGATAAAAAAATTGATCTAAAAAAGATAATAATTCATCACTAATGTCTAATTTTCATTGCTAAAAATATAATAACGACACTTTTTGTAACAAAAATATTTGATCCCTAAAAAATAATTTTTTCCTAAATTTTAGTCTTTAAAACCTTAATTTTTTTGTAGTGGCATAAATAAAAAAGAAATTACGCAAAATAAAGAATTACCTTTTCTTTTATTTTTATGTTTTAACCAATAAAAAAATGAAGAGTATAGTTAGAGTTATTCTAAGGTCATACCTTGATTCTCATCAATAGTTTTTTTTGTCTTTGTTGATAAAAAAAATAAAAAATAAAAAAATAATGAGACTTATCACTAATTTTCCCAATATAAAAGCCTATGTATGTCATTAGGTAATTTTTCTTTTCTCATAATAAGTTTAAGAAAATAAATATTTTTAATTAGAACTTAAACTGTTAATAGAGGTTAACTTATGAAAAGTATAGCTTAAAGTAGCCATTATAATATATTAATTTTTTTAAGCAAAAGTTCGATATATGTATATCCATATCCATATATATAAGAATAGCTTTGTTGAGAAGGCTTGTCTTTTGTTGCCTATTTTGCCCCTAGCTTTTTTTTTGAATTTTCTATTTTTCCCTTTAATATGGTTGGTGAATTAATTTGGGTGGTGAGCTTTTGAAAATTATGTAAGAAATTTTAGTTCATTAAATTAGGCTAATAGTCCAAAAGGAGAGATTTTTTTTGAATTTTTTTATATTTTAAAAGTGATGTTAGAGTGATTATTTGTATGGTTGTTATACTTGCAACTTTTGACTATTGTATCTTTAATTTTTGTAAAATTAAATACCAGTAATTAAAAAAAAATTTACTTTAATCCGGACTCATAACTAAAACTCTTAAATATGTATCAATATATATATATATATATATATATATGTTTTAATTGTAACTTTTACCTGTATTTTAACTATTCAAGCTTGGTTTAAAAACTTTTTTGAGTTTTAATATTTGTTCAAATTTGGTTCCATTACAACAAAAACACATTTTAGTGACATTATACTAATGGCATGTTCTTAAAAAATGTCACAAAAAGAATATTTGGTGGCATTTTTTAAAAAAATGTCGTAGAGCCACAAACATACAAGACTCTAGTGGTATTTCAATTAAAAAAAGTGTCACTTCACTACAACAAAAATGTCACTACAGCAAATTTATACTTTAGTGACACTACACTAGTGGCATGTTTTTAGAAAATGCCACAAAAATAAAAATTGGCATTAAATGTTTTAGAAAAATGCCACAGAACCACAAATATATAAGGCTCTAGTGGCATTTCAATAAAGAAATGTCACATCAATTTTATGGCATTTTCGGCGGCCAAATCCGATATTGGTCGGCAAAAGTTAAGTTTTTTAGCGACCAAAAAATAATTAGTAGCCAAAAGTATAGAATTGGCGACTAAAAAATATTTTTAGTTGCCAAAAGTGGTCTTTTTTTTATTTTGCTAGTAAATAGTTTATTTTACATAAACTATGTTCAATAAAATAATTATGTTTATACATATACTTTTATATTAATATGGATGTATATACTATATAAATAATATATGTTGCATATATAATCATGTGGTGCTATAGAGGTATAGTGGGAAGAGTGGTGTATAAGGTTTATGGTGCGGGAGGTTGGCGGTTCAAGTCTCCGCAAGAGCGGATCAAATTGTTTTACAACGAATTATCGTCACGAATGACACTTGATAGCGTCACGAATAGTGCCTTCCATGACATTAAAATATCACTGAAATGTTTTAGTCTTGATGGTGTAATGACACTTATAAGTGTCACTAACTCTTTTTTTTAATGGCACTTGATAGTGCCACAAATAATATCTACCATGACATCAAAATGTCATTGAAAGTTTTTAGCCATGATGGTGTAGTGACACTTGTAAGTATCTACCGTGGCACTAGCATCTACCGTGGCACGGATACAAATGGCACTTGTTCAAAATGCCACAAGACAAAAAAATGTCATTAAACCAATAGTTTTGTGGCACTTTCAAATGTCACTAAACTAAGAAAATGTTATAGTGTTCATTTTACTTTTTTATATTTACAAAACTAAATGAGCAATTAATTGTTCAATGTAATATTTCTTTTTCTTTTTCTTTTTCTTTTTTAAATTTCTTTTTCTATATGTCAAGTAATTTCATTTTAAACTTTAGCATGGTTGAATTTTCGACAAGATAAAAATTCACACAAATAAGATCAAACAACATATAAAATTAAAAATTGAAAGCTGAATGTTGAAAATTAAATGATAAATTTATTAAATTGAAAAATTGGTTGTTGAAAAATTAAGTGTTGAATATAAGATCAAATTTAAAATTTATTATTTTTAAATTATAATTTTTAATTTTTATATTGTAATGAGAGCGGCGACAATGGTAATAGTGATGAAGATGATGATGATAGAGAGATAATGTAGTGAAGGTCAAAAAACAAAAACAAAAACAAAAACCAAAATCAACTACAAAATGTATAACCTCGTCACAAAAAAAATGGACAACTCGTTGTGCGTTGCATGGGCTTACCTACCTAGTATATATATAGGAATGGCAATCTGAACTCGACCTGACGGGGGCCCAGCCCTCTAACCCCGATTAGAACGATTTTTTCTGAAAAATACCCTCGACGGGCCGAAATGGTATTCGAAAATGAATCCTTGACAACTTTTAGGCCGGGGACGATAATACATTCCCTAACCCCGGCCTCGTCCCCGTTTTTCCGAAACTGAAATTACTATTATACTTCTCTTTATATATATATATATATATATAAACCAAACTCTAATACATCCTCAGACACTAACCGTGTCTCATCTCTCTCTCTTTTTCTTACTCAAATTTCTATCTCTCCTTCAATCTTGCGTCACTCATCGTTGCCTCAACAACATCATAGCGACTCCGATGCCTTTCCCTTCTCCGCCTTCTCTCTTTCACACAAGCCCTAGTTTTTTCTCTCTAAAAGCTTCCATGGCAAAACTAGGCATCAGATTGTCGTCGATCTCAGAACGAATCTATTCAGATCTAAATCAATCGCCGACTCTCGCTGATCCCAGCGTCATTCACTGTCGTCGCCATTGTCTCTATTATCGTTGTCGTCAACGTCGGCCTCGCCGCCATCTGAGAGCTACATACTACCACAAATCAGCCATCAATCACTCTTTACTTTCATCCACACCGATCTCTCTCTATTTTCTCTCTCCAGATTTGCCGTTGATCCACACCGATCTATTGCCTTCATAACCAAATCTAAATGGCCTTAAGCTCGTGTACTTGTTGATTTGTTTTTTTTTTTGGTAATTGTTGATCTGTTTTGGTTCTTATTCTTCTTTT